CATGCAACAAAGAATATACTTTTAAATTGTGTATCCAAGAATATACTATAAGCAGACAAAAAAAAAAATCAAACAACTTACGCCTTTTTTTAATTTTATGTCTTGCTTTATAAAATATTGTTGAGCAAACCAAACAAAAAAAAAAAAAAATTTTTTTTTTTTTTTTTTTTTACAAGTTCACTTACCTTTCAAAGTCGACACATTGTATTTGTGCTCCTTTTTAATTCCATGCATGTTTTTTTTAGTCGGCCAGCTTTTTTTTTTTTTTTTTTTTTTTTGTTATTTGTTTACGTTTTACCTTCCAGATTTTTCTGAGTGAACGTTCCTTTAAGCTTAGTCGTCCTTTAACTAGTTTTAACTGTCCAAACTTCAGTATACTTTTCCGTTCCATTAGATGTTCGACTTTTAATTAATGATTTTTCTTTTTTTTTCTTCAGCCTGGGTTCTTCCACTTATCCCAATTGTTGAAGGCTATCAATTATTAATTCTTTTTTTTTCCGTAACGTAAAGTTCTTTATACCTCGTCGCCATTGTTGAAACTTGGATAAGCATGGAATAATAATAATACAACACAAAATGTACGTAAACAAAATGTATTGAAACAAGGAAAAGGTACACAATATTTACAGTTAGTTTTGGTATATTCTTGGGAAGACTGTTCCTGCATAATGGGTTGACTAAATCGCAGTCGGTCAGAGTCTCTGGATTCGATCTCCTCTTACTAACCCCCGTCTTCCGGTACCAACCCATATTTATATGGTCGGTACTCCACTTATGTAAATTAGGTGTATCGTACCACAACATTTACCATTTTTATTTGTGTACAATGTGATCACTTGGGTAATGGGCTGAACCCATCTTTTTATTTTATTTTTTTTTTTATTTAAAAATATAAATAATGCAATCCTCACTTCAGCATAGAAATTGTGAAGCAATATGAATTTGAGACTTTGGTTGCTTAACCCTAACATCAGGTTAAACTGATCATTTTGCTTAATGTACATATTTTATTGATTTCAAACGACAACTTCCAAAATATTTCAGAGAGGGAAAGAAATAAACAATTTCACAAACAAGAATTAATCTACATCAAGCATACCCTTTAGAATAACAACTACCCAGCAAACATAACATCATTATCTACACATGGGAAGAGCAAACATAACATCATTATCTACACGTGGGCAGAGCGAACATCGGTATCTACACGTGGGCAGAGCCTGTCGGTATCTACATGTGGGAGAATCGAACATCGGTATCTACATTCCAAGCAGAGCGAACATCGGTATCTACATGTGGGCAGAAGCGGGAACATCGGTATCTGAGCGTAGCGAACATCGGTATCTACACGGGGCAGAGCGAACATCGGGTATTTCACGTAAGCAGAGCTTACACATCGGTTCTTCAATCGTGGGCAGAGCGAACATCGGTATCTACACGTGGGCAGAGCGAACATCGGTATCTATTTTATGCGAACATTTATCAGAGAGCGAAACATCGGTATTCACAATTCAGAGCGAACATCGGTATCTCCACATGGGAACAGAAGGGACAAGAAAGATCAAAAAAACTGCCACAATCTGTTAAAGGAATTTTTTATTTGGTAAAAATCCTACCAAAATATAGTTCAAACAAATGTTTGAGGTAACATTTAATTTATATGGGTGCACAACAAATGACATGACCCAAATTTAAGAACAAACAATAAATTTATTGTTCACACAAAATAATGAATGTATTATCGTATTTTCTGGCTTACAAGATGCTGTAGCTTGAAAGACACACTCTAATATTAGAAAGAAATTTCTAAGAAAAAAAAAAAAAAAAAGGTCATTCTCATAGAACAACACATTCACCATGCATCCCTCACATACTGGCACCACATATTGTTTATGTTAATCACTCATCCGATTTTGTTTGTATGGCAATGACATACTAGTTGGTGGTTAGTAGATTTTTCATTGTCCAAGGTTGGTTTTATTTTCATATAAAAATGAATTAAAAATTTTTAAAAAAGGAAGGTTTATACTCTTCGAAATACTTGTAACAGCTAAGTACTGAGGTTAAATCATATAAAAGGCTGAATTAGATAGCTAGTTAACTTTATAGTGTAATGCCTCAACATACAAATCCACGTCCATATCCATCAAGCCAATTAGGTGACCATCCAAGTTTACTTGAGCCTGGGCATTGCTTTACATCCATCTTGAAAGATGTACACATATTTTTCAGGAAGAATGTGCATCTTGTAAGTTGGAAAATACGGTACACAAATTAAGTCCATTGTGTGCCAAATGATGGTCAATAATAACGTATGTAAAAATAATGCAAATGGAATCTTCTCTTTTACAATAAAAATTATAATGCTGCATAAGGTCCTCAGAAAAGAAAACTACATATAAAATGTAGAAAAGGAGAAAATACTTCTCTGAATAGTTTTCAAAGAATTGGTACAATTTTCAAAGTAAAGTTCATGGTAACAGCAAAGAACAAAACAAGCACCCCCAGCCAAAGTTTTCTTGTCTGGTGGTTGTCAAATTTCTTCTGTATTGTTTTTCTTTCTGGACTCTGGTGACCTGGGTTCCAGCAGCAGATGTTCGTCAACTCCTTGAATTAAATCCAAGCCTCACTTTTATAACCTACAGGTAGGCTCCAAATTCACTTCTTGGAATTTGGAAGGAAACCTCTTGATTCTGTATGAAAAATCAAAATGTACCAAAATATTTTTGAAATTCAAAATTTAAGCAAGTGCCCTATGCAGCATCTGTTTTATCTCAGAATAGCAGATGATACATGCTCAAGCAGCTTAAATATCTGTATGTCTGCCTTACATCAAGGGCTTATTGCAAAAGATTCGGAGGATCTGCAGGCAATACAACATCAGGATCATATTCAGAGCTGATCCGCTTGATGGAAAAATCTCTGCCAAGTAAAACCTAACACAGGGAGGAACATGACCAAAAATTGTGTGTACTCAATTCCTGGCAGAGAGTATGAAGGTGAAACAAGTTGCCCCCTAAATGTAAGGCTGGAGTGAGGGGCAAGACATTGAAATCAGGCATGACTGATCATGTATAGAGGGAAAGGGGAATAAAGTGAAAATACTGGACAAGGAAGAAACTGGAGAGTTAAACATTTGAAAGAATTAGCACATATGCTAGGCTATGAGGATCTCCTTAGAAAGCCTAGTATAGAAATAAATACAATATGGGAGCCACTAATAAAGAAAGACAAATGACAGCAAGTCTTCAGCAATGGTCAAAACATGAGAGGCAGCAATTACAGCACTAATCAGCAGGCAGATTCAAAGTTTGCTACAGCAATGGCCTAGTGGATTAAAGTATTGTTAATTTGGTGACATATTGATTATGAGTTCAATTCCTGGGTTGAGCAGTATGTACTTGGAAATGAGTGAACAATAACTGAGCAGTACTTAAGATAAGGACTAGACATGGGCAGTGAAACGAGAACAGTCTATCCTTATTGATTAAATAATAGGTTCAGTTCAGAATTCCATGTAGATCAATAAACACCTGGGGAAGACCAGAACATTGTGATAACAACAGCAGAGATGAGGACAATAGTCCGAATATAAATAATGTTATAGTAGCAGTAATATTATACACTAATTTACTTTTGTCCTCTTCTTGGTTAGTTTTTATTGTGATATCTTTAACTTTCATGTTTGGTATTCCTTGACCCTATGGAATTATTCCTTTGATGATTAGCATTCCTTGACCCGATTGAATTATTCCTTTCATGTTTGACATTCCTTGCCCCGTGTGAATTCTTCATCATAGGACTTGTTCTGATATAATTGAATTCTGTTTGTGTCTATAACCAATCTTATTTGATTTAGGCATTATTTTATTTAGTTGAAAAATTCACTTTGTGACTGATGTTTTATCTGATAGCTATGTGCCTTGCTCTTTCTGTAAGTATTTAAATTGACCCATATTTTTTTTATTTTTTTTATTTTAGCAATGGTTAGGGTCAAGTGAGATTAGCTTCAAATTTAAGCATCTGTAGAGGATGAGATTTGACATTTGTGCTAGAATTTGGCAGTTTTTCAGTCTTTATTCCTGTATCACATCATGTCCATACTTATCTTTGAATTTTTGAGATGAGGAATTGTCATTATTGTGCACAGACTTACTTGGACAAGTATTTTCATTTTGGTTGTTATAATAATAATTTCTCAAAAATTTAGACAAAATTATATTATAGTAATATTAATTCTGCTTTCATCCTGAGATAAATGAAAATACTTGTTTTCAAAACTTTAGACAAAGAATGACTAAAAAAAAGAAATGTTTTAAATTCTTCATTTAATTCACATGGTTGTTATATTATAGCATATTTTATCCATGTGAAAAAATTGAAACTTTTAAAATATCTAATTCATGTGGTTATGTTATTTTAAAAAAAAAATAATGCTCATGCCCATATCACTAGTTAAAACACTGGTTCCCTTATCACCGAAGTTAAGCAACATCAAGCAGTAGTCTAGATGAGTGACTGCTTGGGAATACCAGGTGCTGTAAACTTGGATGTGTGGGTGGTGTAATGGATAAGGACTCAGATTTAATCAGAGTGTAGAGTTCCAATTCCTGTTGGGTTCATTGTATTCACTTACAAGCAAATACCCTTGGGAAAGGTAGGAATCCCTCTATCCTCCCTCCAGCTATAGCTTAATTAGTAAGACTTGTATCACTAAAATTAAAACTTATCTCAAAAGAAAAAAAAAATCTTACTATCTGAAAATATTCTCTGGCTTTAAATAACCTGTGAAGGGCTGATAAGCCATAAAAACAAATCGATCATTTAAAAAAAAGTGAAACTTTTAATTTCTCTTTGAAAAATTTTTTTGTTTATCCAACCTTATTGACATTTTATTTTTGAATGAAGCTAAAATAATTTGAAGATTTTTATTTATTTTATTTAAATTGAAAGTATTTTATAATTATTTTATTCTCAATTTATATTTATTTGTCTTTCAGGGAACATATCACAGCTATATTATGTTTACCTCTTGCTTCTCAAAAAAGGTATGTAAAAATGTGAAATATTAGTAACTGATTTATTTTGGTTATAAAATAAATTATAATATCATAAGTATAAGCTTTTTCATATAGTTTTTGTAAGTAACTAATAATACATGTATGTACACTGTCATGCTAAATGTCATGGCGTAGTAGTATGCAAAGGTAATGATAGATGGTGCCACTGTACCTTGATCAATAATATAGTGAGACTTCTAGCATTTGAACTCTGATATCTAATAAGTGTGAACACTGGATAGATTGCTTGTAGCAAGATGATATAAGTTATTAGTTTTAACAGGGCATAATAGTGGATGCAAGATTGATGAGACATCCCATTTTGAAAATTATGAGCATATTTGACATTCTGTAATCTATTATATCACATATGGATAGCATAATGGTTATTGTTGTGGACAGTGGAATCAACAGGCCACATTCAAATCTCAGCCAAGGCTGTTACATTCATTTCGCGCTAATGCACTTGGGAAAGGCAATGAATTTTTCTCTTGTAACCCCAGTGATGAGTTAAATAGCAGGACTGACTGAGTTCTCTAGTCTTGAGTGGCAACCAGTCTAAGGGATGGAAAATTTTGAATTCAAGCCACTTGAGTGTGTAAATAATGTGAAGAAGGGCATTTCTTGAATTAAAACTTGGTCTGGCTATTCACTGCAACATGTTCTTTACCAACTGTTCTGGATCCTCTCCTTGCCACTGGTCGTCCTGGGTAAGACGTTAAACTACATCCGCGTCCTGGGTAAGATGTTAAACTACATCCAGCAGCAAGGCCTTTGATCAGGAGGCTTTGAGGAGCATGGAACCACCTCTTAATTGCTAGTGTTCCCAGGTCCACCCTGACGCGATGTGGTAGCACCTGATAGGGTCCCAGCTATGGGCAAATAATTAACTATTACCAGCAATACAATTTTGAAGGAAATATATTACCAGAAACAGATTTTTGACAAAACACAATATTACCAGCAATAAAAAATGTTGTCAGCATTAAATAACACATTGAAAGTGATATGCCGTAAAACAAAATAAACCAAACCAATCTAAACCAAAGAATACATATTCTATTCATATAAGTCTATCCTAAAAATGTTGTCAGCATTAAATGACCCATTGAGGTTGATATGCCATAAACCAAACATCCTTGCCATTGGATCCTGAATGTAGGGAAGGTTCTCGGGGCCTGTTCAGCTGCTTAATCACCTAAAAAAAAAAAAAAAAAAAAATGCTGTTTTTTGACTGTCATTCTTTGGAATTGGTAGCAGTATACATGTAAATTCTCATTCATAGAACTACCAAAATCAACATGCTGCACCATAATTCTACTTTATAACCGATTTTAGTCACAGACTGACAGATTGTTTCATGATGGTCCTCATGAATGAATTAAAAATTTTCTCCATATTTTTTTTTTAATATTTTGCTGGTGATTGGCTGTTCTGAAAACCCATCTTGAACTGGGTCAAATGGCCTTAAAATACATCTGCCAGACAGTGTTCAATCTCATGAATTTTCACTAAAAATCTTAAACATTTCTAAGAGTCTTGGTAGCAGACTTGCTTTGTATTATACAATATTTGATGTAGCTAGCTTGCTCACCTATCATAAAAATTACACAGTTGTTCCAACATTGTCATAACACATTGTGTAATAATTGAACCTGGACAGAAAGCATGAAGCCCATTTGGCAGAATGACTCAGTAGATACTAGACCATCTATAAACTTGTTGGGTTTCTTTTAAAAGCAGTTCAGGATACAAAATGATGAGGTAACAATATTATCAATTTTATTATTAATTACACATTTTAATTTTAATTTGTATTTGAAGACTGTAAAAGAAGGTTCATTGTTCCACTGGGCTTCATAGTTAATACATTGCATGAAATTTTGGAGTAATAGTTTAAAATAGGTGTAATTTTTCAAATAATATGTATATTTTTTTATTATAAATGTTTCTTCCTTGCATTTATTTCAAAATACATAACAATAACAAATGTCTATATTTCTGAGATAAGGTATTATGTACACTATTTACATTGTTTGGACTATAATCCTCATCTTCTCTTTGGGTCATGTGGCATAGTGAATAAAGGCATTAGTTAGATCCAGTGATAGGACCCAAACAGTGTGAGTTCAATACCTGGTTAAGGCAGGGGAGAACTTGGAGAGGAGAATTAACATGAGATAACTGATATCCATTAGACATGGCACGTGGAACTAGAACTGTCTACCTCAGCAAGTGAAAGAAAGGGTTCAGTTCGATATTCCAACCACCTGAAGAAGGCCAGAGCGTACAACGGCCAGAGCATACAACGCCTGAAACGTTATGATGAATATGGCAACAAAGATGAGGATGATAGTCTGAGCAATGTAAATAGTGTACATAACAATAGCAAATCAATGTGCATCTATTTATTTGCCATTAAGTCATGTGACACATATCGTCTCTTCACCTTTCAAGTAGTTGCTTATAAAAAACGTTCTAATGTCGTGAATTGTATAAATATATGTTGTCATGCATATTTAAATTTATTTAATAATGTTCTTATAATGTATTAATGTTTATTTTTCACACATAATAGCTGGAATATAATATGCACATATTTGTTTATACATGGGAATTATATAAGAATGTGTATCGAAAACAAATACAAAATTTCCCATTAAAAATGTCATAAAAATAGAAAAATCAACCTAGCTAAAAAAAAAAAAAAAAAAGCAAAACAAAAATCCCTTGTCTAATTTTAATGAAATTTGGCACTGCACTCAGCAGGGGTTCAAGGTACAATATGCTCCTAAATTGACTGGGGTACTATGTATTGTTTAAGCTGTATCTCTGAAACACACACATACACATAAATAAATACTAGATTAGTTTTAGTATAAATTATCTCCACATGGATTTCTGTTGAATGTTACAATCGCAGCACATGTAGTTCTGCAACTTTCTAATGCCACTAGATTCTTTAAGAAACTCATGATTTCAATTCAATGATGGAAATGGAGAAAAACAAGGACTCGATATGTAGCATCAGAAATAGACAGTTGAAATTTCTGAGGAAAGAGTGCTTGGAAAATTTGACTCTCACAGGAAATATTGATGGACAGAGGAAAGCAGCATATAATCTACCTAACGAGCTTGTGCAAATGGTTGGTAGAACAGGGATTAGGAGATATAGCAAATAGACAAACTTTACTAAGGGCTACAAATGATAGGAAGTTGTGGAGAGCCATGATTGATCAGGTCTTGAAGGGACACGGCATATAGAAGAAGTTATTACTGTTTCACATGTAAACTGAACTTGCTGACAATGCTCTGGTGTCATAGTATATTTTTTTTATACCAGTCAGAATAAAGCTTTTTGTGTGAGTCTTATGTCCTATTTTTTATAATTTCTTTTTTTTTTCTCTTTTTTTTCTCAATGGATTCTGCATGATCTTCCTTTGTATATTCCAGGAGTACACAGGGAGCCCCAGATTGGACATGTGTTATTGTTGGTTTCTCTTCAGGATATATTCGTATGTATACAGAAGTAAGTGGCATGATTTATATATAGGTAACTTTTTTGCACCAATTTGTAATGTGTTTATTTCTAAAAGGTTGAACTACAAACCACCAGTCTTTGGTTATATTCTTGTAGCCATTTTCTTGTAATTAATCAAGTGGGAAATATTGATTTAAATTCTGGAAAAATTGTGGAAAAGTGTGAAAAAAATTTTTGTGATGTTTTTTGTCCTTTAGGATTTCATTGAAACATATTCTTTTATTTTATCATCCTGTTGGATTACGATCCATATTTGATCTGCATTTGATCTTTAACTCATATGTTTATCTATATAAAGGTTCCCATTTTTGCATTACTGACCACCTGAAGATTGTGTGAAAGCATGAAACTTACAGTAGTGGTTAAACACTGTACACCTAAAATTTAATTTGTAATATATATAATGTTTGAGTAGACATCCCTTTTGTTATCTTTTAACTGTGTAAATTTTTGTCTACCGGCCTGTGCATTTGAGAATCTTAATAAAGAAAATGTCTTTTGGCATGATTTGAATCTACATTCCCTTGTAGGGGAAATCACCATTAAGCTCAGCATGCTTTTAGACTACCCAGTGCCAGACAATTTACAGTCAAGCATTACTTTAGTCTGATGAAGTCCTAATTTTCAAATGTCATCTACCTCTTATTTTTGTCTTATAATCTTTCATCATATAAGGTTTGACAGGAACATTATTATATTGTTGCCAAGAAGCATTATATATGTTGTATCCTTAAAGAGATTACAAACAGACAAAGGTGGTACTTGAGTGAAGGAACAGCAACACACACATAGATGAAAGAAGAGAGGTTTATTGTAAAAGAGAATACACTACTGAAAGACAGGGAATCTGGTGGTTTTTCCTGAAGCAAGCCCCTGGGTATATCCTGTGCTCACTATTTATAGCTACTGATATAGTCAGTCCACATGACTATGTCAGTAAGGAGTGTGGGACATTCCATTACAACATAAACTCACCCATCTCCAAGCTAATTTTCCTAAGAAATTTTGCTCAATACCTCTTCTTTTTGGGGTCAGGACATAATTGTTTGACTTTTTTTTCCTCTTCCTAGTATTTTTCCATCTCACCACGCAAAAATATATATGTCAGGAAGAAACTTGTTTTTTCTCTCTCTCTCTCTTTCTTTCAGACTGGTACTTTATTGCTTTCTCAACTTCTACATGAAGAAGCTGTACAAAAACTGAAATGTAAATCCTATGAATCTCCTCGGTACCTTGGAATGGCCGAACAGGTAATTCTCTGAAAAAAAATTAGCTTTGATTAGGCTTGTGGATACTTACTAAGCTTTCCTTCATCTAGTATAAGGTCAAATGTGTCGAATACTTATTGGCTAGCTTAACTGTATTAGTCACTTGATAGTGATTTTTTTTTTTGTTTTTGTTTATTACCAACCAACCTTTTAAAGAAATGATATTAATCAAATTTTATTTTTTTTAACTTACATTTCTTACATTTTTAATTTGTTACTTTTTATCACAACTCCCACAGACACAACATTGCATGCCTATTGCTACTTCAATGGCAAAAGTTCAGATGAGCTCCACTCTTTAGGGACACCAGTTCAGACCTCACCATTCTATGTTCAAGGATTTAAATCACACATATTTTTTCAATATTCCAGTTGTAAGTAGGAAGTTTCACTCAGCTTTTTCTTGAGAACTGCTACTTTGTGGAACAAACTCCTCTCTGAACACTACAATCTTAACTTCTTCAAGTCATGGGTCAGTTGTTATCTATCCCTCTTATCCTCATAATTTTTAATTTTCTTCCTCTTACATTCATATAGCATCATTCAGTAACCCTCAAGTGGCCATTAGTGGCTCTTGAGCCTTGTATTGGGTGAACTTTAGTAAATAAAAATTAAAAAATTGCCATTTTATTACCTTTAGTAAGCAGAATTGATTAGAAATAAAGAATAAGTCACTGTTGGAATTTGAACTTTATCATCAGGAACAATCTTTCCAAGACTTCTTTACTGATGAGACTATGAAGGCTAACTTGTTAGAATTATTAAATTTTATAAAAATAACATCTCTTTATTTTTCCCAAAAGCCTTGATGTACTGCCATCTTTATATTTTACTCTATTAATAAACTTGAGGCAGTTTCTTTTTGTTAGTTTCTGTTACCTAGATGGCATGATTAGTGTTGGTAGTGGTTGTGTGTCTGTAGCAGTGGTTGTGTTTCTGTAGCGGTTGCTAGTTGTAGAGCTGCTCAGGAAAAGTTTAGAGAACTGTTACCCATAATGATGTGCTGTTACATCACCAGTTGCACTTGTGGCAGTGTTTTCAACCCATGTGTTCATAGTATGCTGGTAAATCCAAGGCTATGCATGCTGATGACAGTTGATGTCTAGTAGGAAATGATTGTTCTCTGATCAAGTTGGATATGTGATTTCAAACCAGCTAATAGCATGGTCTCATTTTACAAACATCTGGGTATCTTTCTGCTTGGTTTGTTCTGTCCTAAGATTATAATTGTTTGAACATGTACATTGAAACAATTCATGGTTGAAGAAATGTACTGAATTGGACATTAAGTGAAGTCATAGCAAAGGACGACTGAAGAAAAAAAACCTGGACAGAAGGTGTCAACAATAATCTCAAGGAATTAAAATTGAAAGAAGACAAAGAGATGTTCAGTGATGCAAGTTTCCAAAGCATCTAATTGTTGTATCAAGGAAAGTATATGATTATAGTTTTGATATCATTCAAATTTCCTTGATAAAAAATTGTCAATTATTTAATTGTATTTCTTGATTTTTATTTCTGTTAGATTTTATTGCAACTATTATGGAATGGACTATGGAATTATGGGATGGCCATAAAAGAAATGGAAACAAAAAAAAAAGACAAAAATTAAGAAATGACAGTTAAGAAATTCAGACAACTTCAGATAATTACTACAAGCTGTAGAAGGCAACTGTTTATCTTGCAAGATAAAAGCAGCACTCTATTTGGTCAAAATTTAGTCCTTTGATGGTGAAACTGGAGTGACCTCTCCAGGTGTGCAGGCCTGGGTGATGGTATATGGAGGGTGTGTGCTGCCCAGACTACATGAGCTCCCACTTTTGCCTATACCAACAAGATCCAGAGCATTACATTACTTGACTGCAAGAGTTGCTAGAAAGTTGTCCGTGTTGATAGCCAACAGCCTTCAGGGCTCTACACCAGGTTTTCTGCCTGGATTTACTTCCATAGCCTTTTCCATGTTTTGGATGTGGCCACAAAGCAGCAGAGGCTTAAAATCAAGTTTTTCTTTCCCCTAGATAGACTGCCTTTCTGGACTGTTGAGCTTCATTTACTTGAAGCAACTGGTTATGAGACGCCATTTTCTGCCTTCACCCATTCTCCGGCTTGGATAGTATTTAGTTGTCAGAAGCTATTTGAGATGCATGCCATGGAAGCATTTTATAGACAGTGGGAGTGTCTCTACTATCACCCCTCCAACCAGCTATAACAAATACTATTTAGAAAAATATGACAAACTAGAAAGGTTTTCTTGTGACGTGTTTCATTGTCCTAAATCAGAAAGTTTCCACCTACAAAATCCTATAAGCTATTCCTTCAATGTAGTTGTTCCACATAAAGTCATTGGAAAATGTCAGGCCAAGAAGGTGCAGTCAGACACTATCTTGCACATACAAATATGAAGGAGCTATAGACAGTTATTGAAACAGCTCAATATCTCTTCAGAGATCTTCTTATCTTTTGTGGAATCATGTTAAGTTGCTGCAAGCTAGAGAAAATCATGTGTGATTATAGTCACCTATCACATGACTTTTGGCACATCAGGGTATATATCTGGTTTGTACTTTTGATAATTATGACATTGTATATAATTGTATTGATTTTTTTAAAAGAATTTGAAACTGATTTTTCCCCAAACTATACAAAATGTGTTAAATAAGACCCATCCATGTTTACAACAGAAGCAACATCAAATGCTAAAAACCAATTAGAAAGGTTAGAAAGCACATATAAAGAATTAAAACTATCAATTAAGAAAAAAATCTCTCAACAAATGCTACACATAACTTCTGTAAACTTAAAGAATTATTATTCTAGCAATTGTTCAGAGAATTAATCTCATTCATTTTGTTGCTTTTGTTATTACCACACCAAAGACCCCACTTGTTTCTTTCAACATGGATTATATATGAAAAGTCTACAGAATGGATTAGCTGAAACAATGCCCTAACAACAAAAGCAGCAAAAAGAATGAATCAAGTCTGAACAATTTTTAAAATATCACATATATTTTTAATTTAATTACTTGAAACACACATATACATAAATTTTGTATATTATGTGCCTGCAATAGTTCCCAAAATCCTGTTTTATAAAAACTACCATCTGAATACACAAGAGAAAATCATTTGTTTTTAATTAAAAAAAAAAAAAAAAAATGCTGGATTCTTTTTCATACACCTGATTTTATAAAAAAAAAATTTCTTGGCATTGTTAGCAAGCTAATCTCAGAGATTATAAATGCTAATGTAAGTTTGATCCTTATTACATACAAAGATATCAAAACCAATATCCCCACACCAAAAACAAATAAGAAAATAATTTAAAAAAAACAACTGACTAATCAATAAAATGCATATATAAATTCCTTCAAAATTTCATTCCTACTAAAAATAACAAAAAAAAAAGAAAAAACCTGAATGCTTTATACACATCCACTTTTAAAAAAAAATATGCACAAACATTAGTAAAACAGATGTAATAAAACTTCTTATTCTTTTTTTTTTGCTTATTGAATTAATTTCTGAATGAAATGATTTTAATTCTTACAATTAGTGGAAGAACATTTGGTCTATGAGGATTTATTATTGGCAAATAAAATCTTAATTTAAGATGCATGCATGACACTGTTGTTGGCAGACTGAAAAAAGATTGACAAGATAGTAATGGAAAACTAACAATTGACTGTAAGAAGACAGAACACATGGTTGTCAGCAAAAGAGACAGCTCATTTATAAGATACATAATGGGGACATCAGAATCCAGTGGGTACATAAATTTAACTACACAATGTATAGTAACAGATGATAGATACTATGACACAGATATCCAAAAATGCATAGGAATAGCAAATGATATCTTCCAGAAACTCAGCAAAGTATTAAGATATAGAAGATATTATTAGAAACAAAAAAAAGTTGTTGAACTGCCATTATATATAATATGCTACATAGCAGTGAATGTAGAATAATTTTCTCACAGATGAAGAAGACTTGAAATGACAGAAATTTTCTGCTGGCAAATTCTAAGAGGACTCTGGACAGGACATGTGAGCAATTAGGAAACCTGGAGGAAATAATAAAACTTACAATCAGAATGGAACCATTGAAGTTTGGAGAAACATATCTGTTACTTTATTTACAGCAAAAAATTAAACAAAAAATATACAAGCAATATATTATATAGATAGATAAATATCCAGTAGGGAGAAGGTATTTTTTCTTTCTCTTTTTTTTATTATCATTTTCTTTTCTCTCTTAATTCCAGCATGAAGAGTTGATGATTCTCTACAAGAAGGCCTTCCTTACCATTGATGGATTCAGTTTGTTTCAGTCATTAAGAGCTTGCCGAAACCAAGTAGCAAGAGGTAAAGCTGTTTTCTGAATTTATAGCTCTATAGATTGCATATAAGATTTTTTTTTTTTTTTTTTTTTTTTTTTGACAAATTACCTGAAGCTAAACAAGTATGACGTTTTGTTTGCAGGCAGCCATTTGCAATGCAGAAAGTGCATATTCCAATGTGATCCTTATAATTCTATCAGCTGATGCATGTTCATGAGTTCCATGTGCATTTATATTTTTTTTTTTTTTATCATGCCACCCTAATCCACACAATAATACCACTAAGATGCAAGTGATTACTGGGGTGAAAGAAAATGAGAACACTTTAGAAGGAGGAACCAGAAACCCAATCCTAAACAGGAAACCGTGGATAAACCTGTTCAAAAGACTGGGGAGGAGTGTGAACCAAGTGATAGACTAATCTCTCCTATTCAAGTATTTTAAGGATTAGCTTGAAGAGACAGGTAATTTACTGCCAGCAGCTGTTGAAAGAAATGTGCAAGTGGCTATTATCTATGCATTTCATAATTTACTGTGTTGCATTGAGGTACTTTTCTTTCCTCGGTGGCAAACTGGTTTTGAAGTCTCTCTCTGTTTTTGTGTCACAGAATCAGCCCTCTCACAAGAAGATATTTTTTTAAATTAATTTATATCTACAAAATTCTTTTTTTTTTTTTTTTTTTTAAAGTATTTAACTTCATTAGTAGTATTTATATTATTTACAGTTGGACTAATATCCTGTTCATAAGGCATTTGTATGCTGTGTACTATTTTGTATTGTGTTCCAAAGAGGAATGAGGCATTTCTTGTCTTGTTCTCATCTGGTGATGACCTTTGATCGCCAGCAAACCTCATGTTACATTGCACACAACACGGAATAGTACACAGCATGTTTTGCCCTAAGCTTATGCAATTACACAGAACCATTTATGCAAATCTCAGTGTGCCACACTTTTTAAACTCCTAGAGTCTGTAGCCCAACATATCATAGCATTTTGGAGTCAGACCCACTTTGTGATCAAATTAAATGCATTCTGAGGTGGATCTGGACCCACAATCCTGTATTCACAAGTTTTCATTACTGCAATTGTTTTTGTGGTGATTTTTTTTTTTTTTTTTTTTTTTATGATAACAATTTTTATAACTTAGGAATAATTGAAATTATTGAAATTCAGCAAAAAGTAACCCATGAAATAAAAATAATTGTTTATATGGAAAGTAAGGACCTATGTACATCAAATTGTCTTTAAATTAAGTGGCGGCTGAAGAATTATCATTGGACTTTTAAAAGGTGAGCTTAAATATTAATGCAATACTTAAATGCAGTTCTTCTGTAGTTTATTGTTGCCTATCGCATTTGAAAGCAGTATGCCTCACAAAAAGAAATCTTTGTCAATAGAAGACCAGATTGCAATCAAACAAACCAAGGCTGCAGTGAGGAAAAGAAAGTCTTGTGCAAATGAAAACCTAGATCAAATGGCAGCCAGGAGAGCTTTCAATGCTGAGAATATGCAAAGGTATATGGACTCTCAAACTCCTGAACAAGCTGAAGGGTCAATTAAGAGCCCTCTGCAGGAGCTAGTTTAAATGCCACCCATAATTCTGCCCAACCAACAGATAAAGATAGAGATAACAAAGATGAGGATATTAGTCTGACTGTAAATAACATAAATCAGGATAACTCCTCCACCTAAAAATTCACATAAAATCTTTAGTAATATTTTAATTTAAAAAAAAAAACACATGATATAAAAATGAAAAAATTTTAATAAGCTTAAAAATAATAGTAAAAAAAAAAGCAAATAATGCCAAATAGATGGTTTATAAGTTTTATATTCTATTACAATAGTTTTTATTGACTGCTTTACCTCTCCAAAATCACTTGATTATTTAGCAACTAAATTTGGTAAATCACTGACCTTTATTTTTCCTTTTCTAAAATTCTTGATTCTCTCTCAGTAGGCCATGGGAAGTAGCTTCCATACAATTGTACATGTTTGTGTTATCAAATTTAAACTGCTGCTTTGTGGAATCAACTCCCAAGTGGATGCTTCCCTGATCGCTACAATCTTAACCTGTTCAAGTCTAGGGTCAACCGTTATCTTCACCATATAAACTGTGCCTCTTACTCTGTAACTCTCTACCTCAAGGGGCTCTTGGGCCTTGTATAGTGTGAACATCATTGTAAAAAAAAAAAAAAATATTTCTAACAGTACCTGTACTGGCATTCACCTGGTCAGTTGAGCCAGCTTTATCAAACAAACCTGCCACATTCAAACAAAAGTTGACCAAAGGTAACAGAGGTCATATTTGTTTGGATGTGCAAATCCATAGCAGGAACTTCAGTGGGAATTTGGATTTACAAGTGAAACCCCATTTATATGTATACACACTTTTAGGATAGTGCAATATGGTTTGAATTCAGTTTCCTTCACCAAGATTGGTTGTTACCCAAGGCTATAGGACCAAGTCTACACTCCTATTTTACTCATATCTGGGGGAGAATGGATGGATTTATACCTTTCCCAAAGGTAGTAACATATAAGTTAATGTAATGAACTCTAGTAAAATTCAAACTCAGCTCTCTGATTTCTCAATTTGAGCCAATAACACAGTGATTCTCAACCACTGTGCCATGATACACTAGTGTGCCATACAATCCTCTTGAGTGTGTTGTGAAATATTGTCACTGCATACATATATCTGTGTATGTGGAAGTAGTAATGGCATAGTGTTAATATTTTACTAAATAAACTGCACAAATAGTATAAATAAATTAAGCTCATATTTGTGTGTGTGTGTATTATTTAAAAAATCTACGGTTTTATTTCATAATATGTAAATATACACCCTTTAAAAAATTTGCTAAGTGCGATATTTTTATTTGCTTTTAGGTGTGCTGTTACTTAAAAAGATTGAGAAACACAGCGCTAACCCCTACTCCATTGTGCTCTTAACAGTGCCTTTATTTTTTTTTTAATTTATCTTCTTTTATTAACACTAGGATGGCCGAGGTGTCGTTTTTGACACCTTCAAATTTTCAACAAATTTCTATGGAATAACTAGTTTTGGTTCAATGCTGAGGCTTATGAACAATTATTGAATTTTAGCAAAGATGCATAACAGACTTAATTCTTTTAAAAAATATTTAGTGGAATAGCTGATATTTGAGGTTTTACCTCGAATGGCCGAGATGTCGTTTTTGACACCTAGGCTATTTATAGGGTAAATGCATTGAAAAATTTCTCACAAGCAATAATACTTGTGTTTATGTCCCCTATTTATCTATCTATTTATACACACACACACTCACACTATATATAACTTGAATATTGAATATATTAGAGATGGCATATAATATCGAAAAGTAATTTAAATAAAGATGTCAAAGGAGCTGGCCATCCTTGTTAATAAACCTTCAGACATTATGTTGATCCTTTTGTGATATGTGTTGTTCTTGTCCATGTATTATCGTTCATTACCAAAAATTTAATTTGATTATTCTATTCAGTAACCTTCCCTAGGTTACAACAAGAAGTTTAATAAAATTATGTATTTTTATATTTTTTATCATTTCAAAACAAATGTAATATAGGAAAAAACATTTCTAAATCAAAATATTTTTTAAGAAAACACATAAGTTAAACAATTTTGAGAAAGGAATTTTCTAAAAATAAAAAATGACAAAGGTTTTTTTTGTAAATGGATCAAAAAAAAGCAGTTTTTTTGAAGAGTTTGACTATAAAAAAAAGAGACTGATGTTGCAAGTTTCTTTTTTTTATTTTCTATAAAACTTATTATTTTAATAATATATAAATTTAGTAATTATCTGGGATGTCCAAATTATTAAGATGTTTTTAATATAATTTATTAAACATGGAATTTTAACTAATTCAAAATGATTATTCCTTCTTTTAATTGTTAAATCAAAAGAATTCATTTGAATTAAACTTAAATTTTTTTTTTTTAATTTATCTAAATTCATTTTTAATTTGAAAAAAATATGATTTTATTCATTGATATCTGTTCTGCCTTAAAAAAAAAACAAGTTTACATTTTGTAAACTGGATTAGCAATAAACCAATTTGACATTTAAATGGAAGAAAAAAGGTAGAACAAATTACCTTTATCAATAAAAAAAAATGAAAATTAATATGTATTTTTACCATCAAAATTTTACAACAAGTTGTTTGGTATATATTTTATTTTTAATCAGTTGAGTACATTAATGCATAGTTTAGGCCTATTTAAAATAAATTAGCAGGGAATGGACCTATTATATTCTGTTAAAAATCAGAGAACAATTGACAAAAATTGTTAAAAAATATATTTTTGACAAAATTTTTACCTTTCTAAATAGCTATGTTTAAATTAATTGAAAAAATCGTCATTTTTTATTTCATTGAAAATGATTTAAAACCCTATTGTTAAAAAAAATGATTCTTGAAAAATGACTAATAACCTTTTTTATAATTTAAACAAGTTTGTAGATTCCTTTATATGGATGTTTTAAATTTTGAATGAACTGTTATTAAGTTTTTTAAAGTTCTCATGAACATTTAGATAAAAGTTATTTGTTTTGTGAAAAAAACACTTTTTGAATTTTTTAATTGAGCTGAAAAAAATGATCATCCTTATTAATAATCATATTGAATAAAATTATTTTTTAAAACTTCTTAATAAACATTTTAAAATAAAATTTTTAATGGGATAATATTACAATTTCAAGAAAAGGATAATGTTTTGAAATTTCAGAGTGAATTTTTTTTTCAGTTTTGGAATTGTTAGGATTTTAGTAAAAAAGGATTATTTTTATTCCTAACAATTATTTTCAAAATTTTTCCATTGAACCTCTTGAATTCATAGTGAAAAACTTCTTGCTGATTTTTATTTTAAGTTTAATTTTAAAAATTAAAAAAACATTTTGGTTTATTTGATGTTTGTTAAATCTTATAATTATTGCTTTCATTTTTTTGTTTTAAAACCAAAATAAAAAAAAAAAATTTTTTCATTTT